TTTTGACACAACGAGTCAGTTGAACGGACTACCGAAATTTCTACTTGTATTACGTACCTGAGTGGGCGAAGGTGTCCCAAATGCTGAAACTTCTTCCATCTTCCAGCACTGCTCCTTCAACCTTATCACAAACAGACACATGTACAGTTACCTCCAAATCAACTTTCCAGACTTCAGACGAGCAAATACCTGATAAGCAGAAGTTCCGGAACCAAAAACGAATTCAGCGGGAAAATCATCTCTTCCGTATTCATCAACCACACCAGAGACGAAAACTCTGACATCATTATAGTTCCCGACCACCACCAAAAGAATAGAAAGAACATGAAGATAGACATAATTCGACATGGTTTCTACCACAGCAAGTGATGAATCGATAATCTTAGCTAACACTGCGGTCGAGATTTATTTTGGAGATACAGGTAGGAGATGAAAAGGAAAGAAAAATGGGTCTCATATGAAAAATCAAAACACACACTCACCACTCACACAGGATCACCCACTGCACCAAACAATTAGGTATAATATCTTTTTTTTTCCTATTTTGTCTAATTATAAGCCAAAAAAAAAAATTCCCTTTTTTGTCTAAGCCAAAAAAAGTCAGTACTAGTCCCAGTTTTGTTTTGGAAACAGACGATAAGGACGGGAATGAAAAAGCCATATATAACATCTCTTTTTCCTATTTTGTCTAATTATAATCATTAATAAAAGAAATTCTTTATTTTCCTTACCATTAAAGGCATGTCATACAATAAAATCTTAAACAAATAGAATAAATTACAAAACGGAATAAAATTTACAAAACTATTTAACTATGAAATGAAAATATTATTATTCTGTTTTTTTTTTTTAAAGGTATAAACACTTATGTATGAAGTGTAAAGTTTATAGATGGAAAATGTAAAGTTTATGTTTTGATATTGTAATCTTGAATTGCTTACTATAGTTTCTTTTGTAATGGATTTGGTAACACCCATCTAACGGATTTTTTTTTTCGGACTATTTTTGGATAACCATGACTTGAAGTCATGAAATCCTTTAACACTGGAATAAAAAAACAAACCACAAAAGCCAAAGATATAAACAGACTTACTTGAACTAGAAAATAGAAAGAAAAATAAACACCCAAAACTTAAACAACTTCCAATTGGTAGAAAACCCAGATATAAGCAAAAGGATCAAAAATCAAACAATCATCTGAACTTTATTAGCAAATATCAAATATATAACAATAATACATAACTTGAACATAAACTTCTATACCGAATAAAATCATAATCTTCTGTCACACCCCAAAACCGGAACGGCGAAAACGTTCGGGGGCGGAGGACGTCATGTACAGTATCATAACAATGCAAAGTAGCAAACAAGCAACAACATCATCCATTGCATTAATAGTATAATTTAATACAATTGTGTTCTTTGAAAGTAGTAAGACACCAAAATGAATAATCAAAATAAAAGACGAGTCTTGAACATGCTCCGTCTTCTCAAAACCTGGTCGACTGTACCTGTCTATTGATGACCTGAGAATACAAGTTATTTTGAAAGCGTAGATCAGCATTAAAGCTGGTGAGTTCATAAGTATTTAGTGTCAATGTTTGAATAAGTTTACTGAAAATGTTTGTAAATGTTTGTATATGTTTGAAAACTCCTAGAACATCCTATATTTTCTACTAGTATAAAAAGTAGTCTTCTACCAAGATCAGACTGTTTTATATGTTTGTTTCTCTGTAAAAGTGGATGTTTTTCCCAAATATGACTATTATTACCAAAATATAGTTTTATATTACCCTTTTATGTGACAAGATCACAATTTGAATATAATGGGAAAATGTATGTGTACTGCAGTATTATTTGTATTAACTACTGAAGTAATAACTACCTTAAAACCAATGGTTTAATTTAGGTATAATGTGATGAGGTTGTACCATACTAACTGACTAAAACACGACGATGAAAGACGTCGGAAGAAATGACATTTGGCACCAGTAGACTTGCAAGTCTCACTGTAGCGAACAGCTAGGTGTAGGATAGTCAATCCAGTATAGATCTATACACAAATTCACGCTCTCCCTCCAGGAGATTCTGGTTACAAAACGAGCCATAGCAGTTATGCTATGCCCCGCAGTAGTATCTCACATTATGATATAGTATTCTTGTATATGTATTGTATGTACTAGTGTAGTGTATGTTCTCGCTGTCTAGTATGTAGTATGTTCTCTCTGTCTAGTATGTAGTATGTTCTCTTTGTTTCTCATCATAGTATGTTCTCTTGTATAGTGTATAGTATGTATTGTTTCTCGTTATAGTATTCTCTATCTGTTTCTCTTTATAGTAAGTATTGTTTCTCGTTATAGTATTCTCTATCTGTTTCTCTTTATAGTAAGTATTGTTTCTCGTTATAGTATTCTCTATCTGTTTCTCTTTATAGTAAGTATTGTTTCTCGTTATAGTATTTGTATATGTTAGTATTCTCCTAAACTATACATATTATAGTTTACTAGTAATTTCTGTAGATTGAATGAATGAAGGTATGCCTTTGCTACCCAAAGGTACTGAACTGATTGATAGTACTTTTGTATCTACATATGTACACATAATATATAACTAATATTTAGACGACATTCGGACAAACAACCGATATCCTAAGGCTACATCCAAACAAGGAAAATGAAATAAAGCGAGTTATCAGTCCTAAGTCCTTTAAACATTACTTATATAACTCTATATATAGACATGCATTTGACAATATATAAGTTTAAAAAGAAGTTTTGTAAAACATTTGAAGAGTTTAATAATAAATATTGATGACTTGATGTCAATTTGTAAAACGATTTAAAAGCAGTTTGGTTGATAAGACAGTTTTAAAGTATAAGAAATCCTTTGTTTGAAACACAGTTTGAAGTATATGAAATCCTTTGTTTGAAACACAGTTATTAATCACATGTGATTGATTATATAACTTATATGTTTTCTACTTGTATTCCCCCCCCCCCCTCATAAAAGCATTTAAAATCATTTAAAAGATAAGTTAAAGGGGTATGAACTCACCTGTAGTGAGTGATGTGAATGTAAGATCGGTAAAGGATGCTAAGTGTCAAGTTAAGACTTGAGCACACACGGATCCTATTTAGCATATAATGACACATATATGCATCTAATTAGTGTTTATAACAACTAATCATGAAATTGAACAACCTTAGGGACTAGGAAAAACTTGTAATGAAGTGTTAAACCACATAGGGTTGCATATAAGGGATGTAGGGCCTCACATAGGAGTTTACGGCCCAATGGCGTTACTCACATGGGTTTACGGCCCATGGGTTTACGGCCCAATGAGTTTACGGCCGTAAACTCATGGTAATTTGTACCATTTTGTGTGTTAAGGTCTTACACTCATGAAGGAAGTGTTCTAGTCTTTTGTCTAAGCCTTAGGAAGAAGTTATGGTCCTTATGCCACACTAATTAGGGTTTACGGCCAAGGGAGATTGTCTTGGCCGTAAACACCTTTTGTTCTTGAATTCTAGATGTTTTTTCAAGGTCTAATGGTCTTCCAAGAAGTATTCTAGTTCACAAGTTTAGCTCCTAGAAGAGTTTAGGGTCAATATGGCACCATTTTAAGGGTTTACGGCCAAGGGAGATTGTCTTGGCCGTAAACTCCTTTTGTTCTTGTCAAATGGATGTTTTCTAAGTGTTCTTCAAGTATTATAAGTATACAACAAGCTAAGGAGAGAGTACTTACGATATAGAAGCTTGAAAGGGTGATTAAGGTCCAAAAACACTAGGGTGTTCTTGGTGTTCTTGGTGAAATGAAGAACACTTGATGATCTAACCAAAAGAAGAGATTTCATGGATGAAATCATGTATATTCACTAGATATGGAAGGATATTAAGTTGAAATTGGAAAGATTACTTACTAGATTGAAGATTTCGATGAAAGTTCTTAAGATACTTGAGAGAGAATCCGATTTCTAGGCTTGAAATGTGAAAAGTGATTGAAAATGACTAAGGGCCATATATATAGTATGGAGTTTACGGCCACCATGAGTTTATGGCCGTAAACTCATGGTCCCTGGCCGTAAACTCCTCATTTGAGGGTTTATGGCTTGTTTGGTAGGTTACAGCATCAATTGGCACTTCCTTTCACTCATTCCTTTGGTGCACTAGGCTCAGAATGCTCAAACAGACTCTAAACAGTGCTAAAAGTTAGCAGAAACAAGTCTGACTTTGATTGAAGTGAATGGTTTGTACAAAATAGAAATTTCGGGTTGTCACATCTTCTACAACAAACAAACCAACTACAAACCAACTACTGAATGGAGTATGATAAAATTTTACAAACAAGATGATAGAAAAATCCTACAATTGGAAAAAAAAACAAAAACATCATGACATGCATAACAGAATAAGGCCATTAAAATTTCTTATTGAATAAAGAATTCCAAATCCTACATTCAGAAAAAATAACATCAAGAATATCAACAAGAGAACTTTTGGTTGAAAAGAGAAGACAAACAACTTTACAAACAAAATAAAAAACATCATATAAACCTCCAATAATCGTTTCAAAAGATAAACCTCCACAATGAGGCCGATAACAAGGCTATACAAACCTTAAAAAGCTCAAGATTTCTTGAACATATAGATATTCACCAAAAAAACAAACAATTGCTAATTGGTGAACATGACAATCAACAAACTAGCAAATTAAATAAAGAATGGGAATCTAGTGACAAAATATATAAAGGAGAGATAAAATTATCAAGATTTTGAATCACAGACCTATAAGATCAATTTCAAGATTCAAACAACTAAGCATATATCCTCTTCCTTATACTAGTTTTAGGAAGACAAAATCAAACAATGAAGGACTCAAGAACGTACACACCTTACTTATAAGTTATAATTTATAAGATAAAACGTACACACCTTACTTATAAGTTATAATTTATAAGTAATTGTTTGTGAATATGTAACAACATTACACATAAGACACTGAAAAAGCTAATGTGAAGAAACAAAAGAATGTTTTATTAGGTTCAAGTTTGGAAATATGGGAGTGACGTTGTTTCCTTTCAAGAAATTGGTGTACCAATGTGCAGAGAGCTTAGGATATCGTGTCAAGTCCTTGTCATCAAGGTCAACATAATACAGACCATATCCAATGTCATACCCACCCAACAACTCAAACAGATCCAACAAGGACCAAGCAAAATATCCCCTTGTGTTTGATCCATTCCTGTTACCATGTGCCATGTCATATCATATCATATCATACACAAAAAAGAATCACAACAAATTATATTTATATGTATCTTAAAAAGATTGTACGTGTACCTAACCTACCTTAGTGCATCCAACAAAGCACCAATATACGCATGCAAGTACTCTACCCTTGCAATGTCCATCAATGTCCCATTCCGTGCTTGTACTTGGCCTGTCACAAAAACATGATTAATATGTTGATATCATACAGTTCCAGATATATATATATATATATATATATATATATATATATATATATATACACATTAAATTATTATACCATTTTCATGGATGTAGATTGGAGGATTTCCATATTCTTCCTTGAGATAGTTAAGGAGGTTCTGGAGACCTGATGGAGTCACCGGGAACTGAGATTAAAAATATAAAAAAAAAAAAAAAAGATTCACGACTAGAGGAAGATTGGATAATACAAGGTAAAAGAGTAGCAACAAATGGTTTAAGCATTCAAACCTGAGTTGGCAGGGGTTCACTCCCACTGTCTGCAACTGAAAATAAAAAGAAATTAAAAAAAAACCACGTCATCATCATATTCATATTTCATGTCCGTATTATTTATTATATTCATATCTATGGAGTAGTGATTTGCTGGTTTAAGACACGTGTCAATACATACATACACACGTACATATAAGGGTTGCTGCCATGTCTCCATTAACATCCCTGATGTTGGTTTCAAGACTACTAGGGTTATCCTTCACATAGAAATTGTTATAATGGTTTATCCCAAAGAAGTCAAATGAACCCTTGATTCTCTCTGATTCAAGTTTGGTAAAAGCTGGAATTCGGTTTCCTGCATTCTTCTTCACTATTTCTGGGTAGTCCCCATTCACCAAGGGATTCAAAAACCTGAAAACAAAAATCAAAGTGAAAAATTAGTTGGATTCCAAGACTAGGATTTTATGATGATGACTCACCAACCCAGATAGAAGTCATTGGCCCTTTGTGTAGCTTTGACATCTTCTGTTGTGTTTGTATAAGGTTCAAACCAATACGACAAGACATTTATTCCAACAAAACCATGATGTATGGCCTGCATCATCATCACCCATATATACATATATATTGGAAAGTTGATGTTTTGTTAGGATCTTCTTCAATCAAGTGCCAATGAAGATGAGGATCAGACAGCTTCAATTGGAATGGAAAGGACAGAGTTAGTTTTAACTACCTTGTATTTTTGGCGGTATAGTCTTACAGCTGATGCATGTGCAAGAAGCAAATGGTGAGCTGCAAGGTATGGCTCAGAAGTGGAGTCACCTCTGCTGCAGTTAATGAAAAACCCAAATGGGGAAGAACATCGTCCAGGAGGTGAAAACCCCATATCATAACCACCTAAAGCAAACACATTGGCTTCATTAAAACTAGTCCAGTGCAAAACCCTATCACCAAATTCTCTGAAGCAAACGTCAGCATATGCCACAAAGTCTTTCCTGCAGTTATAATTATAAATGGTATCATGAACCTTGTAACACAAGCACAAGCACAAGTAGTTTAGTTTTAGTTTTCGTTTTAGTTAGAAAGAAATGTACACTGATTTTCTACTAAGCCATCCTCCATATTCGTCTTCAAGTATCTGTGGTAGATCGTCATGATGTAATGTGACATGTGGCTGTATTCCTGCATAATATAATCAGCATTACCAAAAATCAGAGGTCACATCTTATTGGGTGAAATCAACCTTTTTCGGCATTGTTTAGTAATTAGTTAGATGATTCAACTTGTATTTCTTGATGCCAAAGCATTGACATTTTAATATACACAAACAATAGCTGACCAAATAACTTAGTTATATTTAACCATGGGCGATAAGCCTGTTGATGAAATCGTTGTAGAACTGTAAGCCCTTTACATTCACGGATCCTCTTCCATCTGCTTAAAATAAGACTATGCATTATGCATTATAATTTATAAGCAAGACTACAAGTACTCAAGTGTTTATCATTATACTATTAAGTAGACAACATACATACTTGGGATGAGTCTGGACCAAGAGATGGAAAATCTATATGCTTCCAAACCTGTCTCTGCAATGAGTTTGATGTCTTCCTGCAACATCCGCATACTCTAACTCAAATTCATAGTATCCTGCTATTCTTACTACTAATGTACTAAAACATTATGTATGAACTATGAAGACAGCATCTGCTTCAACATGTTGTAATAAACTGTTCTTAATTGAAGCCTTATGCTAATTAAAAGATGAGTTGTGGATTGTGGTATGTATGGTTACCTTGTATTTATGGTACCCATCACATGCTACGTCTCCATTTGCTCCATTGTAGTAGCCTGAGATTTTTGAGTCAAATAAAATATAAAAATAACACCCTCCTAATCCTTAGCAAACATACGAAATCATCTTGGGAAAATCCTCAAGCTATCCAATTAGATACTATGCACCTTCAAAAAATTTAAAGGCAATAATTAAATTTGTACCCCCATAGAAAGCATATACTCTGAAATGAATTTTTCAAGAAACCTTAAAAACAACATACTATTAATTAGCTAAATGATTCATGCATTCATTTTTGCAAGTAAGCAAAGCATTTGAGATATAAATGAATAACCAGGGGATCCCTTTATGACATTACATAAGAAATTACATCGTAACTCAGAGAGTAGCAGTATTAAGCAGGCAAAGTCTTTGTCAAACACGGAAGCACATACAAGGGACTGTTTGGACTGGTCCTGATTTTATATGGTTTTGGAGGCCAGTATAATCATATTTAAAGAAAATCCATGCAGCTTCGATGAGATGATTATCGTATTCTAGTTTTTAAATGTACAGTAATCATTTTAAAAAGTGACATCCAAATAACCCCAAAATTCAGTCGATGGAGGAAACCACAAAACCATTCAACTCAATTTTGGTATTGATCGAAAATCATGCGTTATCCGAGCTAAATTCTTTCTGCTATTACCTGAATGAGCGAAGGTGTCCCAAATGCTGAAACTCCTACCATCTTCCAGCACTGCTCCTTCAACCTTATCACACATAGTCAGCCCCAATTCGGCTCTACAGACACTTCAAACGAAGAAATTAAGAGCACATACCTGATAAGCGGAAGTGCCGGAACCAAAAACGAATTCAGCCGGAAAATCATCTCTTCGATATTCATCAACCACACCGTATACGAAGAACTGTACATCATCATAGCTTCCGATCACCAGAAGAAGAGAAAGAACGAAAAGAGGGACAGAATTAGACATGGCTTCTGCTACCCAAGTGATAAATTTTGACTATATACGAGGACGATCAGTCAAACTAACAGTGTTATTAGAAAGGGAGGGAAGAAGAAGAAAGAAGGATATCTTGTTTTAAAGGGGGAAGGGAGAAAGACCTTTTTGTATTTTCCTTTATTCGTTTCGTTCGGATTTGGAAGGGAAAGATTATTGGTATTCTTTTTATGCTTTTAATAAAAATATATGATAAAACATATTACCAAATTGAATTTCTGATTCTACCCTTATATGCTACTATATTATCGCATGTCCCATTAATTTCACCTTTTTTTTTTCAAATTCAAATGGTTTAGGAATCAACTACGTGATCTATATCAAAAAATAATTAATTCTAAACCAATCTCTTATTCTATTTATTTTAAAAACCTAGCTAACTAAAGAATCAACAATTAAATCGCAATAGATCTGAAAACAATGTTATGTTCAAATCAGCAATTAAATCCTAGTAACCGGTGATGCTTGTCTCTTTATCTCTCTGTTCGATTTTCTTTAACGATCCAAAGATTTCAGGGGTGATTTGAGAGCTAAAATAGGGGAACCCATTTGTTGACAGTTATCATGGTAAACTCTTTTGGTCTAGGGTTTGTTTACCTTGATAATTTCTTGCTATCTATTTTTGCATTCTGGTTATTATGTTTATTTATGTGCGATTTACGTGTGTTGTATTATGTTTCTTTTCATTATTTCACTCATTATTTGATATGTTTATCTCCATCATTTCACTAACTTTGATTTTTAGGTGATCCTTACCAAATACAAGCAGTGTGTGCGTATGTTAGTGTTTATGTGTGTAGTATATGTGTGTATCTGATTGTGTTATAGTAACTATTTTCATAAAATTCATTAAATAGAGACTATTAATTATAAAACATGGACCATTTTTGTAAATGTCACTTAACAAGGACCAATTTTGTAGTTGTTACAAAGCTGCAATTTCATTTTATTTATACATTTTAAAAGAAATGAAAGTAGGATGCTAAAATTATCAAACAACCAAAAATAAAATGATATTTCAAGGTATGTTGTCTGTATGTATCCAAGTATGTGTGTGTATCAAAGTTTGTGTGTATGATGCGTTTTCATGTTGTACAACCAAGACGATATATATGGTTTTTTCAAGTTGTATGCTAACTTTCTTAAAGTTTTTATAAAGACTCAATTTGATATTCTTTTCCTTCCTAAATCATGTTTATTACAACAATTTTAATGAGTTCTTTTGATAGTAAAATCTTACTTATTTTAGTTATGTCTTTTTACAATTTTGTATTGCTTAATATCGATATTGGAGTTGGTTATAAAGGAAAAAATAGAATCCAATGACCTTTCTAACTTGATAATTAAGGTGTATTTTACTACTACTAGTTTTGATATTTACACATGCACTTAAACACAACTAGCTTACTACACAACTAGGCAAGTGTACATATTCGTATAATAGTATAGGAATGGCAAGTACGTGTTATCGAACACTAGGGGAATGGGTATGATTTCAATAAAAACTATTGCTACTAATTAAACTAGAAAAATACTATAAATTGGGGGGATTTTTCCGATTTTACAAGTTTAGAAACTTATAGCATCAACTTAAAACAATTAAATTAACAACTATTACTTAAACAAAAGCAAACAAAAACAGATAACGATTTAAATCAAGATAAAAGAGTATTTTCATTTAGCTTCAATTCACCTTTTTCCTATGGTTGATTTCTTTAACGATGCAATGGACTATTTACTTGGTTACCAAATTCTAATGTGACTAGTCATCTTGTTTGGATTTCCTAACGCTAATAATTACTGAACGGTTAATCTAATGATCATGTAATTAATGAACACACAATTGCTTAAGTAAATATTCGGACTATGAATGATATAATCTAACGATTTCCTATCTACGATCAAAACAATCAATCAAGCATATAGCATGGATATATAATGCTCTCTAACACAATTAAAATTACTAATTAATATTACCTAACCATCGGATTGGCTCAATCTCTAGATCTAACAATTTACTGATCATAAATAGTTAAATATCAATTTAATGTAACTAGAATGGTCATCTAACTACACATAACTCATAGATAGGTGATAAAAATCAGTACTTTAACATGCTAGGTAAACGATCTATCAAACACTAGTAAAAACCAAGTTAAATAATCCAATATTATCGAAATCAACACATAGTATCAAGGTTTGTCTTCACTAAACATGTTTAGGTAAGCAAATTGAATGATTAACATGTTCTTCGTGTCGTGGTCTCTTCAAATCTTGTTCTTCAATCGATATCTAGCCTTATTAGGGTTTTTAAGGGATCTTTTATCACAATTGGTAGCAAAAATCGTAGCTCTCTTTCCAGAATGATTTAGAATAGTAATTATAGAGTTGTCATATTATACGTCATAATGTCGCGGTGAAGTGAATACCACGCCACATAATCATTTCCTTAACGTAACCTCCAAGAAACCATACACTTCAATGTGGAAGCTAACTGCCTTGACACGTCACTGCGCCATGGTAAGTAGATTATCGCGCCGTGGTGATCTCCTTAAAGCACATATTTAGTTTTTCCAGCATCCGGTTCGACATTTAGCTCATTTTCTTGTGAGAGTGTCTTTCCTGCTACAAAATAGATTTTTAACATTATAAGTACCAAATATATTTATAAATGACTAGAATGTAGCTAAAAACACAAATATACCGCATAAAATATATGGCGATATCAAAATATCTCACATTTGTCTTTTGATTGTCCCCAAGCAAAACTGATTTTTATTGTCATTCCATTTCAATATCATACATCAAAACTTTGCCCACCAATATCACATAGAATAACCCAAATTAAATTCACCAATTTACGTTTTACCTCAATGCATATGTTTGTGTCTAAAATCCTAATTACTTCCCAAGTTCTAAATACTCACAATCTTCATAACGTTCCCCCCACTTATTTTGAACGACATTCATTTCTGCATCCCTCTGAATACATCCTCATAAGATTTTCTTAACCTCAAGGTATTTTTTATTAAATTTTCAAGAATACATATGATAAAAATAACCTAGAAATAAAAACTACAACTTAACTCACTAAGCCTTTGGCTTTTGGCAATTTGTCTTATTTTTTCACTTTCTCATGATATTCATACTTTGCAAACTCTTATTTACTGGACAATTTTTGACAACTTTTTTTTCATCTTTTCTCTCTCTTTTTTTTTTTCTTCACCACTTTTTCACTTTTTTTTCTTTTCATAATTCACTTTTTTTCTCAACTAAAAACCTAAAAGAAAAACATATGCTTAAGCTTGAGAAACTAACATCAACATTTACTGGCTAAAGATAATAGTCTAAAGTGCAATGACTACATAAATTTTCCTTGATATATTTCAATACACGATGCAAAACTTTTTATGTCCCTCAAACTACACAAGTTCACGTTTTTGTCTCATGATTTCACTAGAACAAAAATATTATAACATATAGGTTCAACTGAATCTTAAAATTTGCATCGAATTATCTCACACAACACTAGCAACCTTATATCTAACGCAATTATATCAAAAGAAAAATTTTAAACTTTTTTAGATTTTAAACTTTTAGACCATTTTTTTCAAGTCTATTTTCAATTCTTTTTATCAATCTATAATAATAATAATAATAATTTTTCAAAATCGAGCATGCTTGTTATCCTTTTTCGACCCCCTATCCCCCACTTATTTCATACAATTCCCTCATTGTATGCATAAAACAAATAGAAGCACATAAAAGCTAAAAAAACTGATAAAAGGAACAAATCCCCCTGGGTAGTAGTGCCGAGATCGAAATGATTGTTGTGGGCGTGCATGGACATCTCAAATAATAGTTGGAAACTGGACTAAACTACTACAGATAGTGTCGAAAAAATATACCAAGAAACGGATTTTGGTTCGCGATGCACCAAAGTGTATAAAATATCAATGTACTTCACCGCGTCGCGACATTCTGATGACCATGGCGTGGTGCCAAGGTTTGCTCTGGGATCTGTCGCAACTGAAATATGTTTCGTGACGTGGCATAGGTGATACCGCGTCGCGTTGTCATAGATTTCTCGAAACTTTGCAGAAAAATAACACAAGCGTTATGTGTCAGAATAACACAATATACTCATCTAGGATACTTCATCCTCCCAACATTAAGGCTGTAAAGCCACTTTTTCGCTTAAAGTCCTCTTCTAAACGAACATTGTACCCCTCACTTGTTTTCCACGCCTCTCGGTAATCTCAACGGACTCTTCTCTTGGCCTAATAGCTAAACTTACTGCCAACTTTCTATTATAGATTTTGCGAGATCAAAATCAAAATGAAGAGTAATAAAAAGGAAAGCATTTGATTACAAATCCAAAAATAAAAACTAAAAACACACCAAAACAAACAAAATAAAAATAGTCTAAAACAAACCAAACCAAACACTTAAAAGCATAAAATAAAAGGATAACTTCACTCGTCATCTTCATCACGTCCACCCGAAGTTCCTGCTCCATCATCTATAGGTGGCCACATCTCACTCCAAGACGGAAAATATGGGTATTGATTGCTCAAAGTTGGTGGCTGTGCAATGCCAAAGTGTTGTAACATGTGCTCCATTGTCCCACCTATCCAATTCATGTTCATGTACATCCTATCTAAATAAGCCACCAACATATAATCACAAGTAGGTCCTCCACCCATGGGCATATCTCGAGGTGGCTATTGAGTTGGCGCATCAAATCTTCTCCTCAAATTTCGTTGAGGCCGCAGTTTCGGATCTGACTCATCATCTTCCAATGGCGCAGCGGGTTTGTCGGCTGGAATACCATGTCCTCCCGCTACTCGCTCAACAATAGTCATTGCTTCATGTTGCCTAATCTGAAGGGTTCGTACATCAAATCGTGTAAGTGTGTGTAGAGTCTTGGGTGTCAAAACCCTGTAGGACGTAGCCAACTTGGTCACAAATTGTCCTACATAAATAGAACTCCAGTTCCAAGTCTGAATAACTCTTTTGGACAGAAATTTCGCCAACACATATGGAATATTGCGAAAAGCATCCGATGTGATAATACTC